CAGGAATGAAAGGATAAAATCAAACAAAGCTGCTGTTCCGACTGGCAGGAGAGATTTTAGACAAGATAAGAGCAGAAACTGAACACAGACTAAAGCAGATTCTCAAAACATTCCTGCCACTGAGAGCCAAGAGCAGGACAGAGCCTCGATTGTCACTCCCAAAGGTGTGTCACCAGGGGGGGATCCGGAGCCTTATTCCGCACATAGAAACCATCCCAAATATTGGGAGTGCACCGCACATGCCAACAGCACCCTGGCCTGAATCAGAAATGGTGTGGCCAGGGCAAAGACCAAGTTAATTGAATAATGCCCACGATGGGCCCGAGCAAAGGCACAGGCAGCCCAGCAACCCCTCTGCAGAGCCAGCCTGCAGGGACCCTCCCCCAGCTGTCCCACCCCAGGGCTCCAGACTCCCACAGCCCAACCGGGGGGGTCTGTGACCCACAGTCCCAGGTGCAGGAGGAGCCCGGAGCCGGGGAGGGCAGAGAAACCCCGCAGCAGCCTCCTGTCGCATCGGCTGGCTCCGGAGCTGGCTCCAGCAGCTTGATTTGTGATTTAAGGAACACAGGCTGTGCTGGAAACATACCCACGATGTTGGGGTGCTGGAGGTTTTTTAAGATCTTGGCTTCTTCGTTCAGTCTCTGCTGATAGATGCTTTGCTGGCTCCTGTTGCATTTGGAATTAATTTTCTTCACAGCCCAAGGGGAGCGAGACAAACCTCTGGGAGATCTGCAGGGGAAAACTCAGGTGTCTCAGAACCACTCTGTTTGTAAGCAGTGCTGCAGTTAAAGCTCTCACAGCTCACCAGGGAGCTATTCTGGTGAGCGTCTGCCTTTCATTTGTGGAATTAATAAAGAACAAGGCTAAAGTAAACTGAAGTTTGCTCACGTACAGAGGTGCACAGTAACGTTTGCCCATATACAGCAAATTTGCAAGGATTTGAGGAGATTCCTCCCAATTCTCATGTTCAGGTGGAGGAGCCGAGGCTCGGGGAGGGAAGCAGCTTGCTCACCAGGCCAAAGCAGGGCCAGGAACAGAGCACAAATGCCCAAATTCCAGGTCAGGGACAGGCTGATGGGGTTCATCCCCAAACGATGGGCTCCTTCCCAGCACCGATACCTCCGGCACAGATAGGAGAGCAGGAAATCCCCCCCCTTCCTTTGAGGGGATACACCAGCACCAGAAGGTGGACGACGGCAGTGCTTTCTTGCTCTAAGCTCAATCACTGCCCATCCTCTGTATGATTCCAGAGGGAAAAAAAGATGCCAAGCCCCGTTCCCGAGCACCCCTCACACGCACCTCTTCATCAAGTAGACATTGACCCCCGTGCCGAATCCAAGCTTCTGCATGAAGGGAGAGGCTGGGATAGTGACGGACGCTGGCCCTCCATCTGAAAAAGAAAACAAAATTTAGCCCCACGCAGCAGATCAAACAGCAAGCAGCTGCTTCACAGCTTCTCCCAGGGAGCTTTGACTCTCTAATCACAAACGACATTTGCGGTTCCACCGCGGGCACTGTGCTATGTGCAGAACAAGCTCAGATTTTTAGAAAAAGCTCCTTTCCAAACTTCCTTTCCCCCAATATCTTACCAAATTCCAACTGCAGTCCCACCGAGCTGTCACTACCACCCTTGTTAGGTTGCTCACCCAGGACAACAGCAGTGTGCGAAGTTTTGTGCTCAAACTTAAACCCAGTTTTATGCTGTCCTGGTTTGGGCTGGGACAGAGTGAACTCTCCTCCCAGCAGCTGGTGTGAGGCTGTTGGGGTTTGTGCTGAGGAGAAGCTGATCACACACTGACGGGCAGAGCTGCTGCCAGGACAGTCGAGGACTTTTCAGCTTCTCTGCTGTGCCCGTGTCTGCAGGGGCAGGAGGAGCTGGGAGGGAGCACCGCCCAAGTGACCAGCCCAGGATTCGACCTCAGGTTTGGGACTGAGACAAACTGGCCGATGGTCTGTTCATCCCATGCACGGCATGGCCAGGAGAGAGGTGAGGAGCTGCCCAGAAGTTCTCTCTCTTGCTCCGGGTTGTCTCCCTCTGGGTCACCCCTCTGTCAGGGTCAACTCAGTCTCTCGGACACTCTCTCGTTTCCTTTCTGGGATTGTGATTTCAGGACTCTCCCTGCTCTGGGATCAGGCTGAGCCTTGGTCATTGGGTGGTGAGCAGTTGCACTGTGTATCACTCATTTGTATATTTTACTATTTCCAATATTATTGCAGTTTCGTTATTAAATTGTTCTTATCTCAACGCCCGAGTCTCTTTTCCCTTCACCCCTTTAATTCTCACCCCCATTCCTGGGAGGGGTGAGGGTGAGCGAGCGGCTGGTGTCACATTTAGCTGCTAGACAGGGTCAAACCACGACAATGCTCAAGCTTAATCCCAACATTTTGGGATTTGGGTTTGGCTGGGATGGGCCCATGGGAAAGCAGTCAGGTATCCCTGCCAGCCCCTCTGGAAATATTTAGGGCTCGCACCTGAACACGACTCACCAGGTTTCTCCCTGTGGAGGAGGTTGTTCTGAGACTTGAAGGCTTCCATCACCGCGCACTGTCCCGATCCCTAGAGCAGAGGAGAGGCTTTAGCACACCTCCACCCCCGAAACCACTGGAGGGAACCGCTCAGAAGGACCCGGGAGCACAAACCCTGCAGGGCTTGAGCCCTGACCCCCCAGGGGCATCACAGGGACCTCGACCGGACGTTAAAGGACATAAATTACATCCATCGGGAGAGCCCAGCTGCTCATTTGGCTTCTCCCGGCTCCCTCCTTCCCCACTGTCACCTTGTGTCACCCCGTGTCCCCTGGG